TTGCAGCCAGTGCATCTGGGCAGGGTGGGGCTGGGGGTGGGGGTGGCCAGGCCAGAGCTTGTGGGGGAAGGAAGAACCCGGGACAGGCCTGAGCTGGGCGAGGTGTGCTGTGACCCAGTTCACCACGAAGTGATTGGGGGGCAGCCGTGTGCGGGAGCCTCTGGTGCCCCCTGCAGAGCCCACCACATGCGTCTCTTCCCACCTGCGGGTTCAGTGCCCTCACACTGGGGGCTTGGAATCAGCCCTGGTGGCAGTATTTGCATCCCAGGAAGCAGCCGGTGCTGCGAATCAAGGCTTGTTCACCCCTAGCGAGCTGGCGAAGCAGCCCACCTCTGCTCTGGGGGCTCAGGAGCCCCACAGCCACACCTTGGGTTGTGGGAACCACCTTCTTACAAAAGGAGAGGCCCCTCCAACTCTGCCCTGTGCCTCCCCACCACCCCCTCAACTGACCAGGCCAATGCAGCTGCCCAAACCTGCCCAGAACTCCCCCACAATGGAGTCCTAAACCCTTACACACTTCACTTCCTGGTTCTTCCCCTCTCCGATTCAGGGGCTTATTTTTCAGGCTTTGCAATGAATATGCGCCAAAAAACTGATGTCTCTGCATCACTTCAAGGAATGTATATTTGTTCTCATCAGACTACTTTTTGCCTTGCATGGGCATAGGCAAGGTCTGGGTAATGCTGTAACCTCTGTAGTCCTTAGCCAATGAGGAACCAGGGGAGGGACTTACATGCTAGGAGATAAATTGTCTGCTGTAACTGCCTTGAGTGTGCCTGTCTAGGAGGCACCCACTCTTGCAAGATGTTGATTAAAGCTTTGCTTCATTGTGCTCTGGGTCTTCGTGTCCCTCCTTTGATTGGGTCAGTGGGCTTATTTCTCACATTTGGGGGCTTGTCCAGGATGGACCTTGACCTACAGTGTCCAGGTCCTCTTGTTAGAGGAGAGACACATCCCACCCCGGTTTGGGTGGTCTTTCGTGGGAGGGCCCTGTCCTCTGTGGGGTCTGTGGAGCTTGAGATTTTTTTTCCTTTGGAGACAGAATAAGTGACACTGCGGAAAGGGTAAAAGACAGGCACTGCAGCGACCTGGTAACTCTGTGCATAGACCAAGGTAGGAAAATTGGACTCTAAGTAGTGTCTTTGTGGTCAGGAAATCCTCAGGCTGAGTGTGTGTGACTGAGATGTATCCTAGATACGAAAGGAATGCAGTGTCTCGATCTGCAGTTCCCTTCTCCTGCAAGGGAAATGGCTGGAGACAGATGAAGCAGGTTCTGGAGAATGCAAGAAACCTCCATTAAGGTGGGTTGAGGGAAACTCAGGAGCAGGAACTAGCCTGGTGGAAGATGGGGAACAAAAATTCTAGGCCTAGGGGTAAGGGAAGAGATACACGGAAAGAGGTCGGGTCTCTTTAGATTCTCCCAGAGAGTCCTCTGGGGCAAATGTTACAGTACTGGGAGGATGCTTCTTGTACAAGGAACAAGAACAAGCATAAAATAATCAAATTCTGTTGCTTTGTTTGGACTAAAGACCCAATTAAAGGGCAGTCTGCTTTTTGGCTCAGAGGAAGACTGATTCTATCAGGCTCTAGTTCTTTATGTGAATGACAAAAGTTCTAGTACACTGGAGGAAAGGGGCTCTCTGCTGGTTATGATTGTCTAAACAGGCCTCCTCTGAATAAACCCAGGTTTCTGGAGTAAACACAGGGCATCCCTTATGAAGGGGACTCTGATACTCTCACTGTTCCTCCTTCCTGATAGACTCAAGTTATTCTAGCTGTATGTGGGGGCTTCTCCCTCATTCATTTCCTGGGTGATATGACTATGATAATTGGAGCCAACTGTCTCTAGTTAGTCTACTTCAGGAGGGAGACTTTAAGGAATATTCCCAAGCAGCTGCCAAACTCCTTCCTTTTGTTTTGGGGAAATTCCCTGTCTTCTCTGGCCTGACATAGACTCCATATTTCCACTTTGGTGGGTAAAAAACGTGGCGTCTGCTCCTCTGTCTGAGCTAACAAGATTTAGAACTGGGAATCTTCTTTCTCTGCTTTCTGCTAGCACCTCACCTCTTCTGCCTTCCCTTCCCCCTCCTCCTGTTTCTGCACCATGTAGGGTGTGGCCATGCATAACTGATTCCATACCCTCCTCTGTGCCTCAGGCACCATTGGCTGCTCCTCTCATCCTGGATGTCAAGGAGGGAAGAGCACCCAGTTGAACCGCCTACTTCAGATTCCCCCAAGGGTGTCCCAGGAAAAACTGACAATGGGGAACAAGTGATTAACTTTTAAGTGGATGCAAGTGGAATATATTCAATGTTTAAACTAACTTAAGTTTGTTGGTTTAATTAAGATAAACATGTATTTAGAGTTACCAGCATTAAATATGAGACTTACTTTCCTGGCTAGGTTGGTCAGCCAGCTGAATAAAAGTTTCCCATGTAGACCCTAATTAGGACAATAATGATCCTGGGGACAGGATTAAGATGCAGGATGTAAGAGAGCTAATAATCAAAGAAGTCAGGGGATCGGCTCCAAGATATCAGAATGTTGGCAAGCTTTTTGAGATATAGCAAGAGAAGGAAGAAACCCCAAATGTTTTCTTAGAGAGGATTAGGGATCACATGAGAAAATATTCAGGTCCATATCCAGAAAGTCCAATGGGGTAGGGTCTCCTGAAGGTTAATTTTGCCACTAGAAGTTGGCCTGATATTGCCAGAAATTTACAGAAGATGGATGGATGGAATGAGAAGCAGATAGAAGAACTGCTCAGGGAGGCACAAAAGATAAAAGGGATGAAGAGAGACAAAAACAGAAAGCAAAGATTATGGTAACTACTGTGGAGAAGATGACTGAAAGGAAAGGGGGAAGTAGAGGACCCCCTTGGGGAGAAAAATGAGGAAAACAAAGGCAAGAGAAATGTAGCTTAAATAAGTCTCATTACAGCTTGCAGCCCACTGATAGACACCTGAAAACATGCAGAACGTGACCTTCCTTGAGGAACTCATGGCTGCCTTGGTGCCTTAATGTTTTTGTTTTATTACCTAGGTTTTCTGAAGGTCAAATAAGCTCATGTTATCTCTGTTGCAATTTGTTAGCAAAATGATGACTTAAAATGATGGCTTCTCGAAATTTTTATGGATGAGTAATTGTAAGATCGCTTTCAAAGTCTTTGATAGTCTGAAACTTTAAAGTTTTGCTTGCATGATAAATGGGATTAAATTCATTGGATATCTAATGAGATAAATGCTAAAGCATTGATGACCCAACATAGATTTGTTTTTAATTTCTTATTGCAAAGAAACTAAGGCCATTTGGGTCTGTTGGTAAATATGCTTTGTGCTTAATAGATCCATAAATTTGCCATTTAAAAAACGCTGATGTAATAGCTCACAATTGGTAACCACTTAGTTTTCACTGGAGACTAAGGTTTCTAAGAGTTAAAATTCTGCTAAATGCAGTTAAGACCGATGGTGAAAGAGCAGACCTAGGCCGGCCGACTCCATTTTGTTCTGTGTCCTCCATCTTGAGTGACTATGCCCCCGACATGGCCACAGAAAGAAATTCCCACTCAAACCTCAGACCATGCCTCCTCCCCTTGAGTAACTTCCCGATCAAACCACACCCGGCACCTGTGTTATGGGACTCTGACCCTTCCCCAGCCAATCGGCTAAGGCCATAACCATTACCTACCTCACTGACTACCCCTAGACCCCTATAAAACCTTTGTGCTTTTGAAACTCGCTCTCTCTCCAGTATCTCACCGCTGTGTCAGTGCAGGTAGGGGATTGAGCTCGAGCTAGCTCGAATAAAGGCTCTTTGCTTTTGCATCGGACTTGGCTCCCTGGTGGTCTTTGGGGATCACGAATTCTGGGCATAACAATGGAAATAAGAATAGCAACTTTGTATGTAAAAGTAGATATGTAAAAATATATACATATATGTACATATATAATGGAAATACATTTTTATTGGAGGTAAAAGAAAATAATTTTGTGCTAAATGAGACTGTTTGTTTGAAGAGGAATGGCTGGAGACATGATCTAAATGCAAAGGTGTGAGGGTTAAATTGTACTGTAGGGCTAACGCTTAGCTTGAAAGATAACAACTTTGTTCTGACACTGAAGGTCAAAAGATAACAACCTTGCTTTTACTCTTGTAAATCATACTTCATACTTTTGTGAATCAGGCTTTACCAATGAAAGAAACAAAAGCTCAAAAAAGAGCATCAGAGACAAGGTCAAGGAGATCCACTGGTTGCAACTTAGCGGCAGAAAGTCTAAAATAATCACCTCATTCGATAACTGTTTCTGACTCATCTGGGAACTGTTTCTCTGTTCTGTTCCCAGATAACGATAAAACGATGTGATTGGCTTTAAAAACTCTGTACCCCGGCTGTTCGAGGCTGCACTCTTATCAAGAGTGTTGGTCCCGATCGGTCGGCCTTGCCTCTCATTGTAATAAACTTTATTGTGACTGTCACTGGTGCCCATAGCATTCTGTTTCAGGAATTGTGTGGATGCAACAAAGGAAAGTTGTAGAATGTTTGTGAAGGGAAATCTTTGGAAAGGAATTTTATGTGTGGTCAGGACGGACTAAGGTTAAAATTTATGGATTTTAAAAGTACACGGATATAAGATTAAAATTATCCTTTACTCTCTGTTAAAAAAAAACAACTCTGTTAAAACTCTCTGTTAAAGAAAAACAAGTTTTCTTGGATTGCTGGTCTGTTTTTGATAAAAAAGGTAAAGGGTTTTTTTTCTGCTTTGCCCAAAAAGATGGAAAGAACTATGATTTTAACCAAAAGGGCAGGACAATATGCCCTTTTGAGTTGTTTTGCTCAAGGCTTGGTTGAAAGTGCCCCCCCACCCCTTTGATCCAGAGGCTGGGGAGATGGTGGCATTGTCCTTGCTGTTGGCCTCCAAATGCTCCATATTTGTGTTGTTTCTGGAAGGCATAAGAATAGATGCCTGTGGCATATGAGGAATGGAGGACTGTGATATATGAAGGACTCTTACTGGGATACATGGGAGCCATTTTGCTACACTCAGCCCAGTGTATGCTGACTTGTACCAATCTAGAGACCTTAAAATGGACACCCACATGGCTGGAACATATTTATGTGGGCATTGACAAAACAAGGCAGGGGGATAAACCTCGACTTTGGCCTTTTTAGTTCCCCTCAACAGCTGATTTTATCCTTAGGAAAAAGAAATGGTTTTTGCCAGCCTTTTAAAATGTATTTGTAAAGGGGCGCCTGGGTGGCTCAGTCGGTTGAGCATCCGACTTCGGCTCAGGTCATGATCTCGCGGTCTGTGAGTTTGAGCCCTGCATCGGGCTCTGTGCTGACAGCTCAGAGCCTGGAGCTGCTTCGGATTCTGTGTCTCCCTCTCTCCCTGCCCCTCCCCCGCTCATGCTCTGTCTCTCTCTCTCTCTGTCAAAAATAAATAAAACATTTAAAAAAATTAAAATAAAATGTATTTGTAAAGAGGAACAGTTTGATTATGATCA